TGGTGCGGGGGGGGGGGGGAGAGTGTGGGGGTGGAGGCGCGAGCGGTCCCAGGGGGGCGGGGGTGGGGAAGCACTGGGCTAGAGGGACAGAGTAAGGGCTAAAAGAAAGGTAACTTCCTACATAACACAGCTTACACAGTGACAAGTTTTAATCTCAGCTACATCTCTCAGTAGTAAATTCTCCCCTTTCCCCTACCATGAATCACTAGTCACTAATGCAGACAGCCTCTGAATCATGGCTCTTAACATTACTGCTTTGGGCATATCCATGCTACAGGTTTAAACAAGCTCAGCTTTATTACCTCTTCTTGAGGAATTCTAAGAATTTTATTTCATGAGATAGGAAAACAAGGATTTCTGAGGGCAAATTCTCTGGACTGTTGGATTCTCAGCACCTATTATCGGCCCTGGCTGTAAATTTACTGTCTCTAGATTTTCCATCTCCTTCTACTGCATGAATGGTTTATGGAGAACTGGGTTCACAGAGAACTTTCCTGGATTTACAAATTATATCAGGAAAAGAAATATATGTGAATATGTAGATTTGTGACCTACCAAACCAACTATAGGCGTGTTTGCTGGCCTACTTGGAGGATACTTTGTTGTTGCTGTTCTCTGGCTGGAATGATAGGGGACAGTTTTCAGTGTTTTGAAAACCTTCAGATAGTGAAGACCTGCAGTGATCCTTCTACCCTTGAAGAGGAACATTTGATTTTCTTGGGTACTCAGTGCAAACTGGAAATGGTAGTAGAGAGTGCTCTTGGGGCCTTGGCAGACATTTAATCTTGCCACCCTTCAAGGTGATTGTCAAGTACCTGATAGGATCCACAGTTTAAGTTAGTCACAATTTGTGCAAGCCTTGCTTCCTAGATTTCCTAGAAGAGAAGTAAACAAAAACAGTTTGCAAACTGGAAAGATAAAAAAAATCAGCATTAAGAGAAATGCAGATAACTCTAGACATAATCAGATTTTTGGTTCCTTTTCAGGAAAAATAGCTTCATATCAAATACTACACAATTACTTGATTTATGTTTCCCCCATCCTTTGATTTCTCTCTACAAGCGTTGGGGTGATGAACCAGAAGGTTAATTTAGTTATTTTATTCAATATGTCTGTCCTTCTTCTTTGTTTCAAAAAATATTTTTTGAAACTGCAGAAAATAGTAATGAATAGAATACATGGAACCGTTCCATAATAATTTTGAAGATAATGTGCCGCAGAAGGAAAAACACTTTTTATCTGTAATTGTTTTTTTGAATATCCTCCAAAATTCATTGGTCATCGTGGGTGGGTTATTGCTGTACATGCATTGCATTAGTTTCATGTTTGCTTGATCTGGAACAGGAACATTTTTAAAGAAGCAATTTATGAAAGGTCTCCACAGTTTGTACAATCTGTTAAAATCCATTTACTATCTTGATAACTAATGTTAAAGTACTGTCTAGAGCATTTTTGGTAAATTTATCACATCCATTTCTTTTACTAAATGCAAGTCACGCTTTATACTTTGCAATGTTTTATCTTTTGAAATGATGGCAGCAGTCTTCCCCAATATGTGATCCTCCAACTGTGTTGGGATTACAACTCCCAGAATTCACAATATCATGTAGAAAGAGATGCCCAACAAACTTTAAATAGCTGGGTCCCATTGACTATAATAAAAATACTTCAGTATTTGCTTCATCACCCTGTTGATATCTTTGGGATTGAGAGAGCTTACTTTTGGATAAGTATATCCATAACTTTGAGATAACTCTAGCTTTACTTTTAATATAGAACAAGACAAATGACAGTTGTCATTCTCTCAGTCAGAAAAAGAAAGCATTGAAAGCAAGAATAATTGCAAAGTGTTGTATAATTACCCAGAAAGACTACAAAGCTAAACTCATAAAGACTGGATTCACACATTGTTTTGAACCTTACTGTTGATTGTAAGCATGTGAGAAATTAGGCATTATGGTTTATAAAGTATAGTTTAGTATAATCGGTGAAACTAGCTAATCATGACTTATACCATTATCATTATTAAAACAATCCATAGCTTTGTGTGATGTGTGAACTCAACCTGACAAGGCTTTGTACTGCCTTGTACTGCCTACTACTGACATGTTGCATTCAACCTACTCTGTGCCTTTAGTTTTCTAGATTACTTCCCTTGGGTATCAGAGTCATGCATTATGAGGTTTTCAATGTAAATACCAGATCCTATCACTCATGGTATTTTGTTTTGTTTATCATTTATTTATTTACTCATACTCAGTCACAGTCACAACTCTAGGCAGCTGAAATGGTAACACATAAAGAGGTGCTAACATGATTGTGATAACTTTGTGAAATAAGATAAGCTAGATGGGAGGATGTAAAAGAAAGCAGGATATGAAATGATAGGGAGAAACCAAAAACCTGGCACTGGAAAGCAAAATTCTCACAAGGCCATGATATTGTTAGGCAGCTGCCAGAGTCACATGCTGACATCTCTTCAAGGTTCCCCTACCCCACTCAACACAATGTCTCCATATAAGGCTTTGTAAGAAATTAGAATAGTAACTCCCCCGATCTGAGTATTGAGACATTGCAAAAGGCACTATTCTTATTGCTGATCCACCAGGCTCTTCTTCTGTGGAATTCTGAAGATAGACTGCATTTTCTGATTCTTCAGAGTCCCCAGAATAAGAAATTAAAGATTGTCTGGGCAGTAAGCCCAAATGTACAACATTCCAAACATGGAAGGAAGTAGCAAGGGAAATGGTTTAAAAAAACACTTTTGACAGAGATTTCAGATAATTTGTTAATGTAGAGGAGGGAACCAGAGGGATTTGCAAAGTTACTAAAGTTGCTCCAAAGTGTAAAAAAGGATGAAGAGAAGATATAAGAAGCATACGACAGGGAAGGGAGGGAGGGAACCCAAAGCAAAGCAAAGACTTGTGTGACATGGTAAAGGCTAAGAAATGTATTATGGCTTGCAATTTTGAACTCTGGTCCACAAAAGCTTTGTGTGATGTACTCTCACTGTTGTGGAAGTCCTTTTGTTTTACTTTTCCTTCAAAATTAAAGCATAATCCCATTAACCTAGGTATATCTCTAAAGGATCTACTGTATTGACTTTAGACAGACCCAACTTTTTCCTGATTTGGAATTTTGTGTTTTTTGTCTTCTATTACTTTTCATATCCCCCCACCCTGGTAACGTGACTTGGTGAAACATGGCAGAGATTCACAGCGCAACTACTTTTTAACCTTTAAATAAGAAATTGAATTAATTTTTTTAATAACTTAAAATGGATTATAAATGGGTTTCTTTAATATTACAATTCAGGTTAAGTTCAGTAGAGTATTCAAGCTTTCACATCAAGATGCCTTCTAGTAACTTATATTTTACAACATATCTAGAGATTGCTAACCCTTGCCTTTCTTGGCTTTGAATGCATATTTATAAACCTGTCACTTTAACAGATGGAAGTTTTCCTAGCACTAGGACTCCAAGTTTCTCTTAACCCCAACTGTCTACCCACACCTCCCAAATCTCTTTCCCCTCCCTCCAGAATAGAAAATGGGAGGAGATGCTTTGAGTTACAGTTCTAATACCTACATCACACTTAGTCAAAATAGATGCATTTTACCATTCCACAAGATTCTTTGCCATTTAAAAAGACTGAAATATATTTCAAGGTTCCCATCATGCTTTTGTTAGAAATCAAGCAGATGAGCTGATTTAGGTGGTTATTGTCTGGTTGATAATGGGATATTTTCTTTAGGCACGCCCTGCACCAGCTACCTTCAGGTGTCTTCTTTTTTCCACAGGAAAGATACAGGAAGCCACAGCTCAGCTCTCACATAGCCCTAAGCCATAAAGTGGTTTCTTTGTTTTGGCTAATATTTTGCAGAAACCCAGTAATTTTGGTTTGTGTACCATGGTTTATGGCTTGATATGCTCCACAGACTCAGGCAGTTGTAGATTATTCAGTAAATTGTGATTGAGCAAATAACAACAGCACAGTGTATGTAGCAGGTTTGTCACTTGCATTTCAGGTGGCAAGACATCCACTTTTTCTTCATCTGCAGAAATATTTGTTTCCAGTGCTATACTGGTACATCTCAATAGCCTGTCTGCTTTTAAACAGTAGAAATGCACTGGGCACCTTTTGGGCTATAATTCTAAATAAGCTTTCTAAGAAATAAACTTCAGTGGCAACAAGGGGTGTTACTTTTTTATAAGAAGGCAGAAGATTGTACTGTTAAGACATAACCAACGAACAGTAGAGCAACGTTAGTGGAAAAGTAGGACATGTAGTTTGCATATAAATAAAGCAAAGACTTACTGTAGTCCCAAAATGAGAAATGTCTGGGGTTTGTCTTTTCCCATTGTACTACACATTGTCAAGTGTAGACCTGCACTGGTGTGGAATATGAATTTCTGAGGTTCTGTAGTTCTCAGATGTGGGTGGGGCTGTTGCTTTGCTGACTTTTGGCACCAACTGCAACGAAGAAGTGACATACTTCTTTCCTTCTAACTAGAGCAGCAGTTCAGGTGGTGAATCCAACTACACAGAGAGATGGTTGTCTGGCCTTCACTGGGTGTGTTCAAGCAGAGGCTAGACAGCCATCTGTCTGAGACTTTAATTTGGATGCTTGCACTGAGGAGAAGATTGGACTTGAAAGTCTAAATGGCCCCTTCCAACTATTTGATGCTTTCCCACCTATTGAGTTAAAGCCCTGTGTACCCATGCAAAACAGTGCCAGCGTAACATTTGGTATCCCCAGTCTTTATCCTTTCTCTGTTATGCCTCTTCCTGTCAAGTAACTGCAAATGGTGTTGTCCGGACTTGTGAGTATGCTTGCCATTAAAAGCAAGTTGGTTGGTTTTCTCTTCTGCCTTTGCTGCCATCCTTTTTCAGCAGGTCCCCAGCCAATGGGGAAACAATCCACAAACCAGGATATGCAGCAGGAATGGATGGATCTCACATCAGGACTCTTCCTATCCTCGCTATGAAAGTTTGACTGATCCCCATTTGAGCATCTCCCAATTTAAAATACTGTGAACTAAAGAAACATGTGAGAAAACACAGGGTCAGAATTAGATCCAGAGAGGAGGGCAGATCCTGCATCGATTGTGCAATTAGCAAGATTCTGTAGAGCTGGATTGCAGAAACTGACTAGCTGCTGGGCAACCAGGTCTTATTTCAATGCCAGAGTGGAGGGAAGTGAGCTGATACTGACATTCAGAGGGAAACTGATAAATAAGCAAGCAAACAAACAAACAAAAAACCTGGCCAGTTCAGCATCCCTTATTATCTTCTGGACCAGTGTTTCTCAAGCTTAGCAGCTTGCTGGCTGGGGAATGCTGGGAGTTGAAGTTCACATATCTTAAAGTTGCCAAGATTGAGAAACACTGTTTTGGATACTGCAGTGAGAGAAAAAGGGCTGCTGCATTTAAGGTAAAGATACATTTCTGAATACCATTAAAATGGATTAGCATAAGCATGCCCCCTCTTCCCCAGTTTTCTCTCTCTTGCCTGGAGAGACGTTGATGTCAGAAGTGGTTGGAGAGGTGCTGGGTATGAAGGGAACTCAGGAAACAAAGTGATAATGGAGGGGGCAAATGCTGGGAGAGAAATGGCTGCAGCAGAGTCTGGCTAGCAGCCTGAACACCCAAAATACATCTCAAATCACGCCCAGGGTAGTTCAGTTGACCTTAGATCCAACTTAATGGGTGACAAAGCCTGACAGGTTTTATACAGCTTGAAGCTGTGATAGGATAGTGGAAGTACTCTTTTTCTACTGTTAGAACGAATTATGACCCAAGCCAGCCTCACTTATGGGATGGGGATGAAGTAAGGGAAATCATGGGGACAAGATGGAAATCCATGTGGTCAGGGCATGATTGTGCCATGGTTCAGGTTGGTGACCTGTGATTCTGTGAAGCATGCTTTGGGTACCGTTGCTAAAGCATTAGGTACTGGGCAACAAGGGCTTGGATTTTTCCAACCCTGCAATCAGCAACCAAGAGTAATAAGTTACTAGCACATGCTTGGATGGCTAGGACACAATGCTCTGTGACCAGGGACCTCAGACTGACAAAGGTTTAAAAGGACATCAAGACAGCCTGTGGCTTGTTACATAAAAGGGCTGTTCTAAAGGAGTAATTGCACTGGAGTGTAAACGGCTGGTGGGAACCACACTGAAATGCCAAGCATGGCTGTGATTATCTGGTTGTAGGAAGCAAAGGGCAGAGATTAGAATGTTACATAAGGAAACAAATGAGCTGAATGAGTCAGGGGTTTGGGGAGGAATGAGTCACGGTCAGAGGGAACCAAGCCAGGCATGCAAGTGGAGGACGGAGGGATCCGGGGAAAGAGAGATCCTGAGCACGCTGACCTGGATGCCGATTCCAGTGAAGTCTGCGAGGCTCGGGTGTACAATTCCATCAGTTTGTTTTCAGGTTTCAGTGAGAATCCAGTGGTCACAGGCAGCGAGGGGAAGCTGCAGCGGATGTCTTAAAAGAACAGTTTGCTTCAAGGGAGGGTCGTTTGAGACCTCAAAGCAGCTCACCCAGCATTTCAGTACAGAACAACAAGCATTCTGCCAAAGTCAGCATCAGAAGGGACAAAACAGTATAAATCACTTCTCAAAGGAGCACCGGGTACATTTTTTGGCAAATGCAGAGAAATCACTGGCAATTAATGAACCTAACGGGAATGAGCACAATGAAATGCAAATTGATCTGTATTCAGCAGGGGGAGGGGCCATAGCCTCCCCCCTCCCCCCACACACATACTTTTTATATTCCTTTTGGCTATCTCATAAGTCTTAACACACAGCAAAGCAATTTCAAGAGCACTTTCAAAACCTGCTTTTCATGATTATAAGAAAAGCTTGCTAAAGTTTGGATGGCACGCGCATCTATGCTTAGGTCTTAGAGTATTGCAATAAAGCATTCATCTTGCACTGCATTATGGGATTTTGTCGTGGTAGCTCTGGAGGGTGATGAAACCTGTAGTAGCACTGGCTAAATGGCCCTAAAGTTACAGGGGGACAGGCAGTCAAATATCTCTGGCTTTTGTTAGCTGAGCTGTTAACATTTTATAAAGGTATCCAGAATCTTGCAAAGTGCAAAGATATAAGGAAAGAACTAGAAAATGTAGGGCTATAAAGAAGGAAGAATAAAAGGGAGACACGTGCTGAGAGAAATAGGAGTTAGGAAGGGAAGATTAGATGAGATTTTGTACAGTGGAAAGGAAAGACAAGAACAAAGAGAACAGCATAGGGAGAGAGGAGGATTAGGGATGGGGGTGGGGAATGAAGGAAAGTGGCTATGCAGAGACACATGCTGAGACAGTCAGGAGCACCTTATAGAGCATCCAGGAACCTGGAAAAAGTCCTAGCTGTTTTAATGATTTCAGGAGTGGTGATTTGTATGAGCTGATGTGCATTGCAAAGCACCTCTTTGTAGGATTTACACTGCCCTAATGAGGATTGTCTCCCTACTGAATGTTAGATAAACATGTAATACTGTAATCAATGATTGAGAAAAAGAGTTTTACACTGAAATGAAAGTTGTCACCTACTTCATGAAGTATTAATAAAAAGCACTCTGTAAATGAAAAACTGATATATCAGACAAGGATGAGAAACCATCTGGGGACTATTTCTCTGTAGCCCCTTGGGTATTTCCAGAAAGTGGTCTGTTTCCTAATTCTATCCAACTATATAGCTGGAAGTGGAAATTTATCTTGCTCAGGTCCAGGCAGCCTAAAATAATGGAAATAGAGGGCTATCAAAGGACCCTTTCATGCGGCAGCTTTGGGTCACTTTGGATCCGTTGTGGACCTGTCTGAGCTCATGGCATTGTCTGTCTGAGTACTAAGACAATTTATTTACTCTGTTCCAGAGTACTCCATGCTCCCTGCTCAAGCCACCCATTATTCTTTCCTCCCTCCGCTTCATCCTGAGTTTCAGCATCTTTATTTACCTCTCTCCTCAATCCAGCTACCATAATATCTAACAACCATGGTTAAAATCATTGGGGAAAATATATGGCTGCCTGCCCACTATCTTTCACCTTCAGGGTCTTTTAAATACAAGAGAGGAATGAGGGGTTTGTGTCCAGGAACCTTTTCTTCATAGCAACCAATTTTGGGGGCACATCACCAAACAAATGTATACAATATCTACTGAAAAAATGTCAGACAGAAGTTAGCAATGTATTTATTTTCATTTTGTGTGGGGAGAGGATTTTTTTTTCTCCAGGTCTAGTGGTAGCTCACTTCTTGCATCCCGTTTTGGTCTACCTACTATTGGCTCTGACTCCTACCATTTGTAGCTTTAGTCCCAGTTAATTCTTCTATGGGATATTTAGCCTTTGTGGGGGGGAAAAAATTCTTAGCTGTTTCCGAATCTCTAGACTAGGAAATTGTAGAATCAGATTTACCTTGGCCACATCATCACTTGATTCAATGGTTAGAGGTCAAGTCTTAGATAAGCATTTGTCATGACAGCATTGCCCAGGTGGATAAACATATTTGTTTGCCTTACAAAATTATTATAAGAATTCATGATACAATGGGTGTTGATTTACATCTTACCTTTACACTTAAAGCAGCTAATAGTAATAACAGTAAATAAAGGACAATTAAAAACATTGTTAAAAGTACCATTAAATTATACATTAATAACATACAGGCACCACCCATAAAACTCAATAATTAAATCAGCTTTTATGACAAAGGCCTGCCTGAAAAAAAAAACAAGTTTGCCTGCCAGGAGAAGAATAACAGTGATGGAAGTAACCTGGCCTCCCTTCTCAGGGAATTCCACAACTTGAAATGTACTCTGAAAATGCTACAACACAACATATAATCTTCAAATGCTTCTATTCTTATTTCTCTTTCCTTTCTGAACATTTGAGATTTTTTATACGGCAGTACTGCCATGATATCTCCTCTTTCATAAGAAAGGCTTGAGGAAGGGGCTCTCAAATGCTGCAATATGTGACCCCTAAATGACCCCCACAATAAATGAAATGAATTATTTCATTTGAATGAGGATTAGGCAAGAAATAAATATACCATCTTAATTTTTAATCCATATGTCAAAAAAACATTGTAGAACCTTACAACTTTATCCAATATTTCATTGGAAATTAGCAAAACCAAAACTCATTATAATTTTAAATCATATTTTTAATGGGAAGGATGAGCTCGCTTACTTGTACACAATCCTGAAATCTGAGTTTCACTTTGGGTATAGTCACTGTCATTCACTGAAGTCAAGAAAAGGAAGAGTTTTGCCTGGCCTGAAATCAGTTTCTCTTAAACTGCTGCAGCTTGTAAAACACTATCAGTGCTCTTTTGCTCCCTCTTAGTGCAGTCATGCTGCACTATCTTTTCTTTTTGTTACAGCATGGTGCTTGTAACACACACACATACACACCTCTTGCACTTTGCTCCTCATAACCCTGCTCCCTTTATGTGTGTGTGCCTTCAAATCAGTGTAGACTCCTGGCGACTGCCTGGATAAGATTTCAGAAGTGGTTTGCCATTGCCTTCTTCCTAGGGCTGAGAGAGAGACTGGCTCAAGGTCACCCAGCTGGCTTTTTGCCTAAGGCGGGACTAGATCTCACAGTCTTCCAGTTTCTAGCCTGATGCCTTATCTACTACACCAAACTGGCTCTCAGTTGAAATCTAACCATCTGGAAATCACCCAAGTTAGGAGACACACAACTCTTTTGGTTAGTTTCTTTTACCTCATTTAGGAAGGCTATTTAAAATATCATTTTTATGAGGCATCTGGCTGATAGTTAATGTTATTTTTACTGCTCTGAATGGTACTGATTTCCCTTTTTTTACTGTCAGATTGTTTCTTTGAATTTATGAGTTTTGAAAGCATTTTGACTGAACAGTAGAGCAAATGCTTCACAAGACAGTACAATAAAATAAATGTCATCTGCCTTGAGAAATTGTTTTGAGATTGAATGTGATTTATGGAAAATGGAAATATTCATGGTTGTGAATGAGTGCTTTCAACAGACCATTTTAAAGGGGTTGAAGGAAAAGAGGGCCAAGCCCCACCACAAATAGCTGGCAGGCATTTTCTTCTGTCCTTCTAATGTTGTTTCTCCATCCTTTTATTTCTTCTTTCTCTCTTTGTAGTGTTTCTCCATTTGGATTTTTCTGCCAAAGCTGAGCAGGAGGGGAAGCAAAGAACATGTGCAGCTGTTGCTTAGGAACAAATGCGTTGTGTGAAGTTTTATTTCCTTATATTTGCAAAAACAGATGATTCAGAAAGACAGGGTGGCGTGAAAGCAGAAAGAAGTTTGTGTGTGAGAGAGGGGCAGGGTGACAGAAAGAGGAAGGCCTCTTCACTAACCTTTCTCCTTTTCTCATGTTAACATGCTGGTCATTCTCATCTGTTTCACTCTCACACACACACAGAGACCACGATATATACATGCAGTGGAACAAGTACTAGACTTCTGAGTGAATTATAAAACGTTACTGTAGGCAGCAGATGAGAAATCACTACTGTGTTGTCATTTTTAATGTTCTCCTATATAAAAACATTTGTGCTGCTTAAAAATCAAGCATAATAGCAGGAAATAGGCTATGCTAGAACTTTAATAAGAGCTAGTTTGGTATTGTGGTGTAAGGCACCAGGCTACAAACCGGGAGACCTTGAGTTCTAGACCCACCTTAGATATGAAGCCAGCTGGGTGACCTTGGGCCAGTCATTTTCTCTCAGCCCTAGGAAGCAGGCAATGGCAAGCCACTTCTGAAATCTGACCAAGAAAACTGCAGGGACTAGTTCAGGCAGTTGCCTGGAATCAACACTGACTTGAAAGCAGCCTCTGCCTCCCCCCCCCCTCCCACACACACAAAAAGAACTTTAATCCTTGTAGTTTCATTGTTGTCTTTACATGCAGGAAGTTTTACCACAGAGGGAACTCTCAGAAATCAACACACACACTCCTTCACCTACAGCATGAGGCTGCATGTCCATTTCATAACATCTTTCTGTTCCATGTGCAGACCATGCCTGACAGGGTGAAGGCTCCATTTAGCCAATGTAAAGTCAAATTAACCCTGAGGCAGTGAACAGACAACCCCTTATGCTACGGGAGCATCTGTAATAAACGCTTCACAAACCCAGCTATGTCATAAGAATGTAACACAGTATCAGAAAGTACCTCCTGGATCAGGCCCCAAACCTATCTAGTTCAGCATTGTGTTTCCATAGTAGCCAGTGAGATCTCTCTGGGAAACCCCCAAGCAGGTTATTAGTAGAAGACTGCTCTCCTGTTCATTTTCTCCAACAACTGGTATTGAGAGGTATGCTGCTTTAATGCTGAAGATGAATACAGCCACCATGACTTATCTTATATGAATTTCCCTAATCACCTTTTAAAGCTCTCTACATATTACATCTTTTTGAAGTATACCATAACTTGAAATCTCTTGACAGTGGGAAGCAGGTGTCACCCATGGTTTCTGTTGCTGATTTCTTCGCAGGTTCACTGTCCTTTCCCCTCCCCCGAGTGTTATAAGTGACTTGCAAACCAATCTGGGTGCCACGTAGCAGCCAGAGGAAGAAGTGGATGGCAGGAATAAGAAGGAACAGGAAAAGCTGCCGTTACCTCATCTTCTGCCATTTGGCTTAAAGATTAGAGAGATCCTTAGTCTTTGATTGTCCTTGATTTTTGAATAGTCCTGTCGCCTGCATTCCGTCCCAAGAGAGATGTTCAGTGCAATGTTTGCTTGGTTCATTTGGGCTGCGTTCCCTAAGGGCAAGATGTACTCCAGTACTTTGCCTTTCTTGCTGGGCAAAATTTGCATGTAGCAGTAAGAGAAAAATTTCAAAGAAGAGACCTTGGAGCCCTTCCAGTCCAACCCCCTGCCCAGGGCAGGAATCCTCCTATCATTCCAGACAAATGGCTGTCCAACCTTTGCTTGGAAACTTGTGGATGATGGAGCACCCACAATTCCAGGAAGCAACCTGTCCCGTTGCTTAATAGCTCCCACAGTGGGGACATTCCGCCTTATTTTGAATTTGGATCTCCCCCTCTAAAGCTTCCACCCATTGGTTTTGTCATATCCTTGGCCACTACAGAAAATAAATCCACACCCTCTTCCCTGTGACAGCCCTACAAGTATTGGAAGACTATTATGTTTCCCCTTAGCTTTCTCTCCTTTAAATAAAACCGACCCAGTTCTTTTAATCATTCTTCATAGGATTTAATCTCCAAATCCCTCAGGATCTTGGTCGATCTTACCTGCACTCTGTCTAGTTCCTTGACATCATTCTTGTATTACAGTAACCAGCACTGGACACAGTATTCCAGGTGTGGTCTGACCAGTGCAGCATAGTTGATGCAGCCCAAAATTGTGTTGGCTCTTTTGGCAGTAGATTACTGATTCATGCTTAATTTGTAATCTATCAGGGCACCCAGATCCTTCTCACTTCTGCTGAGCCAGGTACTGCCTATCTTGTAGTTGTACATTTGGTTTTTATTTATTTATTTATTTCAAATTTGTCACCACTCATCTCACTGCAGAGCGACTCCAGGCTTTTTCCAACTCAAGTGCAGAACCTTATATTTTTCTTGCCACTTAACTGCATTAAGTGAGATGCAATTTGTTATCCATCCCTAATTCTTGGTGCCCCACATCTTACCCACAGGGACCCTGCTGTGGATTACATGCATGTGCACACACACTAATATGTACTACATAGGTCTTTTCAAAATGCAAGCTCTTCTCTCCCCCCAACCGTATTCATACATGGACACATACTGATATAGTGCTTGCTTGCACTATGCAGTCTCTCCCCCTTTCCCCCACTTTTTATCTCACACACTCAACCCATCTGATATATGACAGGCATTTTGCAAGTTAATAAAAATTCTGCATTCCCCCTGTCTGTCATCTTTGTATTTTGTTTTAGCAGTACACCAGCTTTTAAGAACTGATAACAGCTATCAGTTCAAAGACCAAGGCAGGTCGGAAGAAAATTTATATCAAGCTGTCAGTTAGAAAGGAAGCATGTTGGAAAATATTTGGGTATTTGAAGTGAGAGCATGGAGGGGGGAGCAAGTTTAAAGAATAAGGTCAAAACAGTTCAATTTGTGATTTGAGTCTTGTGGTCAACATTGTTTTCATTTTGCATGAGAAAGAATCCATTTTTTCTTTTCCATGGCTCCACCCGGAATCTGCCACTGGTCCCCAGGTCCTGAACAAATACAAAGAGTTCAACTGGGATTTGTAAACTAGTTTTAAGGAATTTGTTTATTCAGCTTAGAAACTTCCAGTTGGTGTTGAATGCCAGAAGGAAGTCATATCACGGCACTGCATTAAATTATAGGAGGCATAAATCTGGGAAATCACATACCAACCCACTACAGAGATACAGTCTGCTATACGGAGAAAACAGAAGAAAAAAGTTTTAATCAGTTAAAGTGACATTACTCCAAAGGAGGGATGAATCTCTAAAATACTTCATTAATCCAACAAAACTGCCTACACTTTCAGGGGATAGTTGCATTTTGTCCATTTCCATAGCCCTCTTCAAACATTGATCTGTCTGGGAGAATAAAACCAAGGATGCTACTATGCCTCCTTTCTCCCAAACCTGAACACGTTGGATTATAAACAGAGCAGGCACTGTGTTTGTGTGTTCAGGTAGGACGGCAGAGAAAATCAGCCACGTCTATCAAATGAGATCCAGAGTCCTACTTCCCTTGATTACTGTGATCCGAATAAAATTGCTTAGGCTGTTTTGTTTTTGCTTTGTTTCATTGAGATAGATAGTTATTATTTCAGGTAGATTCCATATACACCATTTTGTTTTATGCGGGTCTTTTTAGCTACTTTGAAACATCTGTAATAAAAAAAACAATAACTTGGCAAGCAAAGCGCAGGCAAGTCATTACCCCAAGAAATCTTTGTAGAGCCTCTGCCTATGAAAATGATCTGTATTACATTTGAAGGTGACAAAGACCGCAAGAGAACTGGCAATGCCATGGGCACAGGAATAGACTGAGACATGACTTATTGAGGGCTGCAGGGGCCTAGTTACAATTTCTTCCTAACTAGTTTTCATATGGCACTTACAACATTTGGACAAACTAGAAGTAAAAATCCCAGTGTTCGTTCAAGCATTATTATTTATAGTCCAGTGGCAGAGGAGCAGCTGTCATGCAGTTCCACTAACATTGGAACCAGACCTTGAAAATCAGATAGTACCATCTTCATGTTTTGAAGAAAAATAGAAAAATTATGGTGGTCTTTCCAAAGTCCATAATCATATTGTTTTATTTCCTTCTTTTTAAAAGATATTGATGAATGTACCACTGGCGCCCACACCTGTAGGTCAGATCAGGTCTGTGTCAACTTAAGAGGATCGTTCACCTGCCAGTGTCGAGTTGGGTATCAAAAGCGGGGAGAACAGTGCATTGGTAAGTATTGCACTGCAAAGTGTCTTTTGTGGGGTCTGGGGGTTTATATTTATTTTTTGTTTTTATGGAATGTTGCTGTTAGCTGCCTAGGATTATCATGTATAACAGGTGGCCACATAAGTTTTTGCAGTTAAATAAATAAATAAATGGAGATGCATGTGGAAATAACACATCTGCTATTAGACTACAGATCGTCATCTCCAGCCAGCAGTGTGGTTGCCTTGATGGGGATGATGAAAGTTGTAGTTACCACACCTGAAGTACAGGTTGTTGGAAAAAGCTGCTACAAGGTTTAAGATGGAAACTTGTAAGAGGACTGTGCATTAAAAACATTTGAAAGAAGTAAGTTCAACATGTGGAAGCATGTATAAGCACTTATTTTCAAATAATGAAAGCAGTCACTTGGTCTCCACGTGTTTATGCATGCACAGCTACTGCATGCTTCAGCATGCATAGACCGTTCTGCTGAGAATAGCTCCCAAACCAGTGCACGGACTTTGCAAATGACAGACATAGCTGCTTTAACAATTCAAAAATAGGTGCTCTGCATGCTCTCTCACACATTGCAAAACACGTATTTCAAATATTTTGTACAGTAGCTCTCTGGCCTCTTTGACTTTTTGGGATAATTTTAATTTTGGGTTTTAAATCTTATGACTTTTCCTATCAATATCTGAACTTGATGGGTTTCGAGAGAACCCAGTCAGAGCTGAAACAGTGACTTTTGACTTAGATTTACAGAATGATCTAAGATCTAGGCCCCAAAGGACTGCTATAGGAAGGCCTACTGGTGGGAAAGGAGAGCCAGTTTGGTCTAGTGGTTAAGGCACCAAGCTAGAAAGCAGGAGACTGCGAGTTCTAGTCCCGCCTTAGGCATGACAGTCGTCTGGGTGACTTTGGGCCAGTTACTCACCTCACAGGATTGTTGTTGTGGGGAAAATAGGAGGAGGAAGGAGTATTAGGTATGTTCGCCACCTTGAGTTATTTAGAAAAATAATAAAGGTTTTTTTAAAAAAAAGTTCCTTGCCACCCTCTCTAGCCACCACTACCACACTGCTATTCCATATCAGTTTTTGGCTGTTATAATTTTTTTATGGGTATATGGAAATTACAGTCTCCTACTAAGAATGCCAAAGGTATTCTTAAAACTAAAGATGGTGATGGACATTGATACTTTTCTTTGCAGTATGCTACTTTCCTATTTAATTTTGGTTTAATTAAAAAAATGTAAAAGAAAATAATAGAGACAGGAAACTGATGGGCACCAAAGAGGAAGTTTGCAGGTATTGATGCTAATAAGCTTCATGTGTACAACATTCCTATGATATTAAGATAGTGATGGCAGTTCATTTTTCATAACTGCATTTTTTAAATTATTTTTAAAATTCTTCTCTTCTAATGGTGATATAGACATTGATGAATGCATGATCCCTTCCTTTTGCCACCATCGGTGTGTGAACAGTCCTGGTTCCTACTACTGCCAATGTAACGCTGGCTTTCAGTTAACAACTGACAACCGCACATGTGCAGGTAAGCACTCTTCAGGACATTTCTGTAGAAATTGTCACATTTAGATTTACAAAGTTGTACTTACTGTCATATATTCTGGTCAAATAAATGGAAAATGCATGGAATCCAATTCAGTAGAGAGATTAGACTGATAACAAGTAGCCATTTATGGCATTTGTCATATGTAAAATGAGCTGTCACTTCAAGAAATGCAGTCATCAAAATACTTCTGTATGTGATTCCTATTTTTGTTCTTTTATAGAATAATAATATTAAAAAAAGATGCCCTATATCAATAGCAGTGATTTAGATATAATTTAGCCTTTTCATTAATGTGGACTGTTAAATTTATGTTTGTGTTAAAATATTGCTCTGACCCTGGCTTTGGGTGTATGATGCGTTTGTTATTTCACCTACTTTCAAATATATTCCAGTTAAAGACATTTTAATTGATTTTGTTGTGAATTTTTAGGGAATTAATCAAAGAGTTGTTATAGAATTATAGAAGCAGTTGCTAAAATCTCTCCCCTCGTCTCTCCACCCAGAGTAGTGCTGTAAGGTTAACTTTCCCAGAGACTTCATGGAATTCTCTTTGAAAAAGCTAACCAGAGGTCTCCAGTATTTGGAGGCTGGTGGGTACATTGGAAAGGTTGAGACTCTCTTGGTGGGCATTTACAGAAAATGAGGGAATGGCTTGCCCATTCTTGTTGTGAGCCGTCCAGCATGGTTAGAGATGGATGGCCATATAAATCTTTTAAATGAATAAATAAAATGGCAAACACGATGGGGTTGCTCAGCCACAAAACACCCAGGCAGACTTGTGTGATTACCTCCTGCATCTCTCTCTAGCCGTCCAGAATGATCCCAGAGCTAAAACTTTGTTTTGATTATTTAAGAAGGACTGCCAGTGAAAATAAAACTGAGCAGCAGGACATTTTTCCCACTTTAAAATGAGATTTAGCTCGAGCAGTTGTCTCAGCTTAATCTTAAATCGTAAATTGCCCTTTTTCCTTTCAATGGGCTACTTTAGAAGGTAGGAGTTGCCCTCACGTATCAGCAAATTCAGGAAATTTAGGAAGCTCCATGTCATATCATAGGTCTCTGACATGGAACAAACATTTAGCTTCTTTGAAAAAGCTTATTGGTGAGGGTCAAACACTGGGAATTATTTATGATTGGGCATAATGGATATAAACACATATAGCTCATTGTTGGATGTAATACAACTTTGCATATGGGTAAAAACAATATATCTGTAGAAAGGAGTTGCTTTCTTTGTATCTGAATAACATGTATTGTTTTAGAAAAGCTTTTTCCATCCCAGTACTATTCAGATACTTGGATTTCAAGTCCCACACTTTATAAGGCCAAGTATTGCAATTGAAATCCCAGGGCATGACTAGGGAGACTTTCACAGAAAGATAGTGTTCATCTAAGTATTTATAAGCACTAATGTTAAATAATATATATTTTTGAACAAGATCTTCATTTAAGCAGAAGTAATTTTCTAGTCCAACTGAAACCCCTCTAAGTGATGCATTGATTAAATGTTGCGTCTTTAATGAAAATTGAATAAAAATAAAAGGGCAAATTTTGATACATTAAATTTTAAGTTATTTCTGTCCCGAGAACTCTGTGCTAAGAAATTTGATGTGAGTGAATTATTAATTTGGTTCTGTTGAATGAGTGGTCTGTTACCAGAGGTCATTTCTGAACAGACTTGAATAGCTCTGTGATAGAGCCCCTGCTTTGTGTGCAGAAGGTTCCATGTTCAGTTTCTGGGATCTCCACTTAACAGGATAAGGTAATCTGGTGGAAGAGCTCTACCCAGGCCCTGGAAAGTCACTGGCAATCTGAGCAGGCACTTGTGGGCTGGTAACCTGGTATAATTCAGTTTCCTGTGTCATATTGTCTGCCCAGGTCCATTAGCTTAAAATTCTTGACCTATGTAAATGGACTCTGAATACTGTTCATCATTCAGGTTTTCAATCATTAATATGCTTTATGCTTTATCTTGGCTTCTGGAAGGTTTCCACTCATCATTGTTCTGTTTGCATTATTGATTTTAATTGGTTTTATTTTTAATTGTTGCTTTTTGCCTTGACAGTCTTGGTGGGTTAAAATTTTTCCAATGCACAAATAAGCATCAAGGTTTTGTGTTTTACTTTTTACTTCATTTTTGATCTGACCCAGGAGTTTACAAACTAAAACTAGGAATACTCAATGGAAATGCCAACACTTAAAATTATTTTAAAGAAAATATCACTAAGCAACATAATACTTAACATTTAGGTAGCCAAAGATAGTTGTCAGCTAAAATATAGTTTTATAATGCAGTGAATTTTCAGAAATTAAACAACAGGCTCTTGCTATCTAAAAGATACAAATCATACAGTACTAGACAAGGGAAAGATCGGTTTCTTTTATGTGATCAAAGTATTGGTATTTTTCACTGAGACTCCTATTCTTACACTAAGCATTTTAAATTCATTCGGAAAGACACTCATATTTTGCTGCAAAGCATAGCACTGACCTTCTTGGAGAAAAAAAAATTGGGATATAAAAATTTTAATTCCTATGTATAAAAAATTACTTTAGTAAACATATCTCTGTCATACAATAGAGTGAGCAAGAAATAGAATCAAAAAGCTATCAGATGAATGGCTGTAGCTATTAACTCTTCATCTTTTCTATATGAACCTAAGTAATCATATACTTGAATTAATCAGCTATGGATCAGTTCTATATCAATAGTTCCATTGTTATTACTATGTATTGGTGAGTTTTTCCTTATAACATGTATTTAGTCACTAATAAAGTATTTAATTCTTACTGCCTCACTTGCTGAATGGTTCATCATCTAAGGAAGAAACCTGCGTTAATTATGAAATCTAACCTTGCTTTGTTAAAAATAAAATTTAACCCTGCAAAACAGGGCTCTCAAAAGACTTACAAACTTTATCTAAGAATGTCTTGCGTATTTCTCCAATAAAATAGCAGTAAAATACCAGAAACAATGTATAGTCCTCCATCAACTGCAAAATATAGTGTCTTGCAGCTGTTCTTTACTATCTACTATTATTAAGAAGTATGAAACAGAAGGGAAGGAAATTACAGGGAATTTTTTTTTCTTAACTTATTCCTGTTTATGAACTGTCTATAAACCATATGTATACATTAACTTTATTATATATACCAAGGATGGGGATGTTGCCAAAAAAAAAAAAATTGTACACAGAAAGAGACCATACCATCATGTTAGTGAAAAAGTAGACTTGATTTCTAAAATGTGCCCATGTAACTATAAAATCTATGTATATCAGGGATCATTCAAATCTTCTAATGAATATACATAAATTGAGAAGCAGATTTATTACTGCATTCTTATGGTTTTGAAATTATATGGTTGTTTGGCAAAGACAGCAGGTACTTAATTTTTATTAGAATCCTCTCCACTAGCCAAGAACATGTTCTAGGCCACAAATCCAAATATGTTAAACACTTAAAACAACATTACGGCTAAGTCACCACTATTAAAATAACAATTACATTAATTAGTTTAATTAACATTTTGACTTTATTAATTGAGATAGCAATTAATTACAAAAACCAAATCAAGCTTAAAATTAAAAAAGTGATTAGGGCCAATTTCTAGCCCTCAAGTTTCACAATAATCTTAGTAAATCTCAGAAAATGGGACAGGATTATATGAATTTTTGAGTTCCCAATTTTGTGGCTATGCCATATCTCATAGAGACCTTTGGGTGAAATTGGGGAAGATGATACCAGCACTCCTGAGGCTTCCATTTAGCAGAAGACTGCCATTTTATTTTTCATGAAAAGTATTCAGAATGCTATATCCCAAAAAAGTCTCATTTCAGAACATTCTTGGAAGGCCATCAGCTCAAAGTATGAGCAGAAACGATAGCATTTGTGCTTCCTCATCCTCAAAATCTGCCTTATCTTCCCCAAATGCACAAAATGGATCCATGAAACTGCAGAGTGTCCTTTGGCTCAGTCCTACCTTTCAGGTTTCAATGCTGCCTTTTATTACATGGTATCTGCAAGAGTTGCAGTTTTCAGAAGGCTAGACTTGGCATTCACACATTCTATTTGTCCACTATGTTGTTGTTTGCAGAAATGTAATTTGAAAACTTAGATCAGATACACAAAATACTCAGATGTGGTAATTGGCATAATTTTGCATAAAGTCTCATTTTATGCATTTTCTTCTAACACAGTCAAGCCTGAGTATTTTAGTCTCGTACATTTCAGTGGAAGAGTTGAGCATGTCTGAAAATAATTTTCCTGTATGTTGGTTTGCAAAATAGTCTTTAGATTAGAGAGCCTAGCTCGAATATAGAAGCAGGGGCATCCATGGGGTAAAACTGGCTTTGGTTGTGTTTTTGTCATACAGTCAGGGTTTTCCTTGGCAAGCTAGACTGAAGGAGATAAACAGACACATAAGGATACAAAAACCACTGTAGAAAAACTAAGCCATCACAAAAGAATTCCAATGACTGCTGTGTTACTTATTTACTTACTTACTGGGTATGTGTGCACAAATCCATAGTATAAACAAAAAATATACAAAATACAACTTAAAATAAAAACAACAAAATGTCCATGATTGCATAAGTATAAATAAAATATCCACAATAAATAACGAACATTAAAAAAACAACTAAACCTAGCAATGAAAATCCACCATAACACTCTGATTAACTAACTACCTACCTAACATTATGAAATATTCTGTACGTGATTTTTCATTGATACTACTGTAATAACACCTCAGTAGCACTTCAGTAGCTACATGCAAGATGCCATTTGGCTCAAAAGGCTCTGTGGAACAGGTCAGTCTTTACCACTTTTTGGAAGGCCACCACACTTGAGGCTAACCTGATTTTTAAGAAGACTGATCCATAACAAATGAGTGAAAAGCATCATTAACTAGTTTCATGAAAGCTTTAGTTCACCAAAGTGTGAAATTGTTAAGATGTTTTCCCATTATGATTGCACTGAAAAGGTTGATTCTGGTTGAAGAAGGCAGTCCTGAAGGTACCTTGCTAAGGCTTTATAGGTCAAAACCAACACTTTGAATTGCACTCAAAAGCCTATTGGCAACCACTGCAGAGTAATTAATATCTCCCATCAAGCAAGCTTCTCCATTTGGATCAATTGTAACTTCTAGTGGACTTCAACTTCATATTGCAGTAGTCTAAGCCTGTGATGATGAGAGCTTGAGTTACTGTTGCAAGGTCTTCATACTCCAGTAAGGGCTGTAACTGGTGCCCAGCCAGAGCTTGGCAAACACCTTCCAGACCACAACCTCCAACTGCCTATCCAGTAGTAGTTACAAGTCTAGGAGGACCCCCAAGTCACAGATCCATTTCCTCATGTTAGTGCCTCCCCCTCAAGAGACAACACCAGAGCTAATTGGGAGCTTGATTAGGCAAATAACAACTTCACCTTGCTTGGGTTCAACTTCAGTCTGTTTCATCCCATCCAGTTCCTAGCAACCTCCAGACACTGGGACAGATCACCAGCTCAGCCCAGAGTAGTGGCTTTTTTGTGTGAATGCCTTCAATGTTGACTCCTGGTGGCTGCCTAGACAAGTTCCTGCAGTTTTCTTAGCAAGATTTCAGAAGTGGTTTGCCATTGCCTTTTTCCTGGGGCTGAGAGTGAGTGATTGGCCCAAAGTCATCCAGGGCTTTGTGCCTAAGGCAGGACTAGAACTCATGACCTCCTCGTTTCTAGCCTGTTGCCTTAACCACTACACCAATACCCAATCTGATTTATGACCTCCCACAGCAGCTTCATGTGGATATTAAACAACAGGGGAGATGACCAAGTGAGAAGCCATGTGGCTGACCTTTTCTCCTCTATCACCACTGAGTGAAATCACCCACTAAGGAAAGAATAGAACCATTGCAAATCACTTCCTCCAATCCCCAACACTGGCAAGTGGTGAAGAAGGATACCATGGTCAGTAGTATCAATGCCACTGAAAATCCAGAAGAAATAGAAGAGGAACACTGCCTGCATCTAAATCCCAACAAAGATTGACCTTAGTGTGACCAGTGCCATTTCCATTTCATGCTGAGGCCTCATCTAACTAAAACCGATCCAGCTAATCCTCTTCTACTATAGTTCCCTGTAGGCTGCCTCCCCACCACCATCTCAATAACTTTTCCCAAAAAGGTAAGGTTGGAGCCTGGATCTTAATTATCCAAATTGGCTGTATCCAGTGAGGGCCTCTAAAGGGAGGGACATGAGCTTCTCTCATACTGCAAGCACCATCCCCTCCTGTATTGAGGTATTGAGGTATCCAGCAAGTCATGTTTCCTCCTGTCCCCTACAGGATCCAGATTAGGCATAAATATAGCTGCAGATAGCACAAGACATACTAGATGGTGTCTTAGCCATTTCATCAGAGCCTACAGGCCAAAAGGAGTCTCAGCTGACATCCTGAGGATGTCACAGATGACATCCCAGTCTCTGTAGAGAGTAAGGAAGAAGACTTTGGCAGAAATATGCAAGAACCATTACCTAGGCAAAAGGGACTGAAACATTTTTAAGTTAAAAACAACATAACATTTGGAAGCAGCTAAGGCAGATGCCTCCCTAATTCACTGATGTATAAGGAGGAGGTGGTACAGCACAATCAGACTTTACAAGATTCTGTTACTATATCCAATCTCAATAAAACCAGTTTTAGCCTTCCTGTGGCGTTGATTTCCAGATGTGGTTTACTTAGTGGGATTGACAGTCTCCATAAAAATCGTGCCCCAGAAATGTTCAGACTAGAGCAAATCTGGGTGATTCTTTCAGCTAAATGCTGGGCAAACTGGTGACAGGGGCTAGGCAGAAAGTCTGCTTGTTCATTTTTCCTAAGAAGGGAGCTCACAATCCTAACAAGGCTGCTAGCCAACACCCCACCACCACAATAAGGGAGGAAAATGAAAAGCATTTGCCTCCCTTCTAACCACAGGGTAGGCCTGAGCGTGGACTTGTACCGATGCTCAGTCAGGTTTTTGGGTTCCTCTACTGTTGCTCTAGGCATCACTTTTGCTGCTTCATCTCCAAGAAACCAAACAAAATTGGGGTCCAGTGAAAGGCCACTGATGTATAATCATATCAAGAGCCCTGGTTACTTTCTGTTGCCAGTAGTTCACTACTCAATGAAACTGTCTAGCAGACTGCTGGGAAATCCCCCCAGTGCCATGCTGGAATCTGTTCATATCCATAAGGCACCTGGTTCAACTTTACTTCTAATTATATAATCCACTATTTGTAGGCATAAAATACCCAGCCATCTTAACCTGCGGAAGGAAGCAAAGCTAAGGGGAAAAAATGATAGTCCATAGCTTGGGAAGCTGGGGTGTAATTCCCCGTCCATATAAATTAACTTGACTCATATTGAATAAACATGTACAATATACAAAGTGTCTGGTGAATGCACTTCAGAATGGTTCAAGAAAAGGTCCAAATGTCAGCATTTGTTTTGTTTTCTTCTTAGACATAAATGAGTGTGAGACCGGCAACCCCTGCGCCCAACTGTGCTACAATATAGTTGGTTCTTTCCTATGCCAGTGCAATCAAGGCTTTGAGTTAAGCCCAGATAGAATCAGTTGTGATGGTGAGTAGCTGTTCAGCTTGATTAAGTTCTCAAATGACATGGGATAGAATGGGAAGGAGGCTTTTGAACAGAACGTGTTCACTGTTAGTAATATGCAAAGAAACCATATCAGGGGTTTCTTCTCCTTCCTAATCAGAAGCTTTAATGCTTTATTTAGTTTTATCATCAGTAATATCTGTTATCACCCCCAACCAAAGGTAAGCACGCTGGAGTCTTATAACCCAATTTGCTCATACTATCATTTCAATGGCCATGGAAGGGCTATTCTCCCCTAGGAAATACTAAGCCAGAAACCTCCAGATGTGTTGAAATTACATTTTCCAGAATTCCCAGGAATGGCCTAGTTGGGAATTCTCAGAAATTATGGCACAGAAATTATAGCATGAGCAAATGGGTTAGAAGCAAGTAGAAAAAAGTTCACTTCTACTCTTGATTTCCCCACCAACAGTGGGCTGGGCTCCCACAACACTATACACCAAAGATGGACAATCTTTGTGGCTTTATTGTGTAAACCAGGCCAATGTATTAGGCTCATGTTCTCTAGCAAACTTTTGTAACTTAAAAAGCAGGCTTTTTAGAAGGCTGATTCTTTCACAAAAGTCTTGCTCTTTTTTTTTTTTTAAGCTTTTTTTGCTTTCTACTTGTGGTGCAGGTAGTAGTGATTCTATTCCTGTTGGTGTATCTCACTCCTGTATGCAGATACAATTTCCCTCTACCAAACTGTCAGAAAGTGGGGAGGGAGAAAGAACCATTTGTACCTTGCAGCCCAGGTAGCAAAATAGCAGACAAGGGACAATTTCAGTGTAGTAGCAGATGCTGAACCTTCAGTAGCTGGTTTAGAAAACTTCTCTGTTTTTCAGATGTTGATGAATGTAGAGCTTCTAACTTCCTGTGCCAATATCAATGTGTCAATGAGCCAGGAAGATTCTCTTGCGTGTGTCCAGATGGATACCAGTTGGTCAGAGGAAGAAACTGTCAAGGTAAGTTAATATACCTGCAAATGTAATGCTAATATTAACACAATTTTTAAAAGATCAAACCATACAAATGGTAAATTCGTGCTTGACACAAGATTTTCTCTCTATAATATAATAAATCTTACTTATCTGAGAGATGTGTAACAGGTTTAAACCAGACCTGGCAAAAATGTGAGACCAAAATAGACCACTGATCTCATATAGTGGCCTATGTATTGAAAACCTCATTTGTTCTCTGCCTAAGACTACAAAACTCTGCGATGGGAAGGAGTAAGGAGGAATCAGGTATCTGGCTGGCCACCATATATGACTGTTTAGTTGGAGAATCCCATTTAAAAGTATGTGTTTGTATACACACACACATACACATGTATGTATGTAGGCCTGGTTTTAAATAAATGGAGCACTGCATATCTGAGATAGAGTACAGTAGGTCAGAAATAGGGCAGCCCTTAGATTTCTGAGGTCTGTTTTCTTTTTATATGAACCTCATGATCTACATACTGAAGCTATGTGCAAAAGAGGGGCTAAGAAGATAGTTTACAGACTGCAGCAAATAATTAAGTTCTATCTACTTAGGTATTTTGCAGATTCAAGTATATGAATGACTCCAGTCTCAAAGAATGCAACCAGCAGAATTCTAGAACTTTTTTCCCTTTCTTTCCTAATATAGATATAAATGAATGTGAAGTAGGCAATGAATGTCGAGAAGATGAGATGTGTTCTAATTATCACGGTGGTTATCGCTGTTACCCAAGAAATCCTTGTCAAGAGCCTTACATGCTTGCATCTGAAAAGTAAGGGAAGCTACCAACAGTCATAGCAAACATCATTTGGAAAATTCCAACTGAATACCAGTTTGTAATGGAAAGAATATGTTTTTCAATCATTGTGCTTTCTTTTACAGTCGCTGTATTTGTCCAGTGTCTAATCCTCTTTGTCGGGACCTGCCATACTCCATTGTTCACAAGTATATGAGCATCCACTCAGAGAGGACTCTGCCATCTGATATTTTCCAAATCCAAGCAACCACAATTATCCCCAATACAATTAACACCTTCCGGATTAAATCTGGAAATGAAAATGGAGACTTCTTTCTTAGAGTGAGTATTCTGTGTGTTCTTCTGCAGTTTCTTTTATGGCTGAGGCTGGAAGTCAACAAGTACAACACGTGCCAAATTAAACAGGCTAGAATCAACAGCTTTATTATGAAGAACTCTTTTGCCCCATTGTGTCATCTGATCACTGCTAAAGATGTAACTCAAGTTCCACCTTCTTACCATGCTTTTTCGCAGAACAATCACCCTATGTTGGGCTGACCCAGAGTTACCCAGTGAATTTCCATGGCTGAGGGTAGACTTGAACCTGCCCTTGGTGGTCCTAGTTTAATACCTTAACCACTACAATACACTGGATATGTGTATGTGTGAATATGCACACATGCATATAGGAGTATGTACACTCTGACAGTGATTTGGAAGAAATGCTTCAAGTCTCATGCAAGCACAACACCTCTCTGCTATTAATTAAAGAAGCCACATTTTTGAGTCATTAAAATGACTTAAAGCAGTGGTATCTTTTTGCAGGAACACACTGAACCTGAAAAAGGATGTGACTGCTTTAATTAGTAGGAGAGAGAGGCTCTGCTCACACTTGTGTGAGGTCTGAAACATATTTTCTAAATTATTTCACATAAGCACACATCTTGGAAAATTATTTGTGGGCGTGTCGGGCTGCACATGAACAGTTTTCTTTCTTTCTTTCTTTCAGCAAACAAGCCCAGTGAGTGCAATGCTTGTGTTGGTCAAGCCAGTAACAGGTCCACGAGAACATATCATCGACCTGGAGCTGCTGACGGTCAACAACATGAACTATCGGTCAAGTTCAGTACTGAGGTTAACACTAATTGTGGGACCTTACTCCTTTTAATCACTGAAGTTAAGTAATTTGCAAGCACCCAGAGCAACCAAAGAAGCTTTCTTTTGAATGAAGCACTTATGATTTTATTTATAGATTTTACATGGTGGTTTTTTTAAAGGAAAAGAAACTTTATTAAAGAAATCAGTACTTGTAATCATGCTATTATACAATATAACCTGGACATTGTCACTTTCTGTTGAGAAACTGCACCTCTGTCTTACTTACAATAATTTGTAGCCATTGCCATCCTATAGCATAGCACCTCTTTTCTGAAAAAATGCATGGAGGGAGTGAGCTGAATTACATTCTTACTCTGATCCTGCTTCTGTGTAATTAGTAGAAGCTGTGATCAGAACTCTGCACGGGCATGAATAACCTGTGTACACTATATGGGGGTCTGAGCCAGCAGAATTTCCAATTTCATGGAAGCGTCTGACTTTTGACACATCCATACCCCTTTATACATTGAGTAATCATAGTCTGAGTTGTGGGGTTAGACTACAAATATAGTTAATGTGATTGCAGTATGTGGGGTTAGACCACAAATATAGTTAATGTGATTGCAGTAACATAAAAAAAGCCTTCATAGGTTTTCAAAATAGCATGGAAATTAACCTTGTTTTCAGTTGTGAGATTCAGGATGTGTGTGCACATATTTAACTCAATATTACTTTTATCCAGTGAGATAGTGGGCATCGTAATCCAGTATGCCAATAAAACTCCTTTGCTTGCAATGGCTCCATTTATTTCAACAGAGGAAATAAATCCATATGTGTATTTTTCTATTTAAAAGGGTAAAATAACCCAGCTGTTAAGAAAAAGAGCTTCATATGTTATTTGAAACACATTCAGAGTCATACAATGTGGCCCAGATCAAAGAGAGCCGTTTTAATATCCACTGACTGTAAGCTCAATGGGATTTTGATAGTTACTGAATAGCTACTGAATTCAACCACCAGTGTCAGTGATACATACACATACAGCCTTCCAGTGCTCAAGGTCCTAGATTCTGTGCTTTTAAATCCTCTCAAGTAGCAAAACGAGGAAAGACCCCTGCTGTTGACAGTCAAAATACAGACTGGGCTATATGGACAAACTCCTGCTTCGTATGTGGAGGATTCAGATATTTCTCCAATGTAAGTGAAACACAGCAAAGCATACCAATAGGAGAAAATAGTGTTCCTAGAGGGGGATTCTTGAAGTATTGTATTCCTTCAGGGCCATGTAGTGGAACAGACACTTCTCTGTATATTAACCTGAGTACGAAGGACATTTCAGCACAGTAATATATATATTAGATATATCCCTTGCTGTTGTCCTTTTAAAGTGCCTTATAAGGATTGATAGAGATCGTTTTTAAAAAGAAGGAATTCTGTAGAGAGTTATTTGTTCTCATAGTGGAGTTTTTTAAAATACGATGTAAGATTAATAGATATCATAAGGAGGAAATAGTTTGCACTTGGTGTTTCCTGAGCAAAAGATACTGGGCAGACCTTTTCTACTTAAACATACTACTCATTAATATTTTAACTTTTCCAAGAAAAATAGGACATAAGAAGTATTTGCCAAACATTCATAAGACTCTCAACCAAAACAAAACAAAACAATCATTTGGAGAAATCATTTTGTATGAGTATATTGTTTATTACAGGGAACAGTCTTTCAAGTTCCTGAGCAAAGAGGTGGGGAGAAGTAGATATATGTTTGTATACTAAGATCGCCCAATCTAAAAAACAGCTGTTTTTACGTTATTTCTTTTTAAAATCATTTTTGGCACTTGCTTCTCTATTTTTAAATTTGAGGTCCAAGAATTAGCTTCTCTTGATAAAGCTTTCTACAATATGACATTGTCTTAGTCAACTGATATATCTGTTTTATAACTCAGATTTGTGATTCTAAATGTATGGTATTTAGTAAAAAAAATGTAATAAGGCCTTGAGTTAAAAGCATTCTTTTGTAATATGTATAGACTTCTCTTGTTTCTTATCTAAAAATCATAACAAAGAACTCTTTGATGTACATTTTTTTAAAAAATAAATAAATAAAAGAACATATCTGTTTTAGTGGGCTCATTTTGTCTTGCAAGTTATTTTAAGCTAAAGGGCAGCTCAAAGAAACCAGACTGGTGGCTGGTGTTTGTCAGTGTTAATTTCATAGGGACCCACAAGTTCATACCAGCTGTTGTCTAATTGCTGTTTAGTAGTAGAATACATACTCTTATGTAAAATGCAATATACATACATACATACATACATACATATGAAGCATGATTAGAAAAATCTCTGGAAAAATATTAGCAAAAATATTTGCTAATAAAAGAATCATTAATGTTCTCTAATAGAATATTGTTTCCACTAACCAAAAATATATGAATCAGCCATAAATCAGTTCAGACTATTGTTCTAATTCAACATGGTTGCAGATGAAAGTGTTTCCCATCAGTGATAGCTTTAGGGATAGGCAGCATGATGTCCATGGCTACTGCTGCATCTGCAGACATCTCCTTGGCCCTGCAAAATGCCCTCTGATCCTTGGGATTTTAATTTAATTTAATTTAAATTTATTTATTTATTTATTTATTTTAATTAGTGGGCTGGAAGCAATCCCAAATGATTGCTGACCTTCAGCAACTTCTCAACTTTTGTTCCCTGTGTGGATCCAAAAATAAAGATGGAGGCCTGCACATCATTGTTAATACAATCACAATTAACATGGATGAGGGAGAAAAGTAGACTGATGTGAAGAAAGGGAATAAGAAACTGATGAATCCAATTACCAGTGCCTAGTGAAGGGTGAGGCAAGGGAATGGCAGCATGGAAACCAAGAGAGCACCAGGAGCATCTGAGAGGAAAACGGGCTTGCTGATTAGAGGGAGGAGATTAGGCTGGGGCACAGCTGGAGGAAGCCAATAGTGCGGACCAAAGGGCATTTGAGGGCCAGCCTGACATGAGAGGACCTGGGAAGTCAAGACTGAGATGAGGATAGCTGCAGAGATGGAAGTATGGAAGAAGAAAGCATTGACAGCATGTGCTTCTGTAATGTGGCAATTAATATGAGAGGGATGAATATTTGGTAATGCATGTGCAGCCTTTATTTCAGCAGGTGTTCAGATGCCTGTCTGGTGTTTTGATAGCAATTTCCTTTTAAGGTTTATTTTAATTTAGAAAAGTAGGCTACAACATTTCAGATAAACCTTTACATGAATTTCCAGATTGCCATTTAGAGTTGCTGGTGGATTTTTTTGGAACTGCGTGCTACTATCATCAATAGGTCTGAGGCTGATATTCCTAAATTTGGATGGACATATATCTGGCAGCCTGTCTCTGTCTTTGACATGTAGGTGCACAACATGCAACCAGAGTGGCATAAACATTGGTCTTTGCCTGCCAATTTTTGGTAAGCTAAAATTAAAGTTGTTTAAGGATAGGAAGAAAAAGGGGTTAAGGGAACTATTGGGCTTTTAAAATCTGGGCATACCAAGTTTCTGCTTTGGACACACCCACTTTCCTCTCGTCCACATGTCCCACCCCTCACCCCCCATATTCTGTGAGACTTATGCAATTCTCAGTTTTAAAAAGACTACTGCCTTAAGCTGTAACTCTGGCATTTTCAGTGTGGCACTCCAAAGCAGCAGCATCTTTATTTTCAGGAATGGTTCTAAGCCCCAAATGGTGCCATGAGCTTTTTTAGACAATAAAAATGTTGGAAGTATAGTGCTTGTTTAGAAATACACCCAGGGTATAGATTGCTTGAGAAAATGGGGAAGGCAGGCATGGCTAGTGACTGTGACAACTAACACTCTGGCAAGTTGAGCTTTTTAACTCCTCAAGTCCCCTTTGGCAACTATTTTGTGAAGGAGTAAGCCTACCCAACAGCCGCAGAATTCCAAATTTGTTCTCTACCTCAAAAGGTGATGGCCTCCTGCTTTCTGCAAATGCAGTGGGAGATGTGGTCTCTCTACTTTTCGTTCTACATCCTCTGTGTTCTCATCCTTTATCTGCTCCTCTGATAAACTGCAGCTGCAATCCTATCCCTAAATTACCCCATCTCTACAACATATGGGAAAGGAAAGGAGGAGAACAATGGAATATATGAAACCACAAAGCAGGAAATACAGTGCTGTGAAAGTACCAAACTGCACAATGGTAATCATATTTTAATGTTTTTAATATTGGTTTAACAATATTTATGATATTACAAACTACCCTGAGTGCCCTTATAGTTTGGGATTATACAGCCTGGTGCCCTCTAGGTTTTTGGATTACAACTCCAAGAATTCTTGTCCTTTGCATATGCTTGCTTGTGTTAATGGAAGTTACTGCTCAAAAATCTGGGTGACACTTTTGTGCCTCCACCACACCCACAAACCCATCTTTCAAAGCAGTTTGAAGATGATTTGCAAAATAAATCAGCTCAGCCCTTGACCGCAGATAACATTATGGGATCAGGTCCAGAGCTGTTTCAGTTTAGCACAGACTCCTCACCTGGAGGTACCCATGTTGCCCACATTGCTCTTCTAGGTTGGAATGGTAGCATATGTATCTTCAAGTAGCAGATAGTCTGGCTCAGCACTACTAACGCCTTTAGCACAGTTCTGTGCTTGTGATTGCCTTGAGATGACATAAAGTTATCCCTAAAGTGCAGCATCTTCCCAGAAACCTGGATAGTGTCAGTAAAAATCAAACTCTTGAGTAAACAAGGCAGCTGTGGGCATAGTAACCAAGTTCATTCACTCTTCAGGACCACCTGAGCATGAGTCCAGTGGGATTATTATGTTTGGACATCTTTAAAAACAGGAGTTTACTGTTGAAATCCGTCACCATAGCAGCAGGCAGTTGCTTATGTTTTGAAAAGGCCAACCACGTTTCTAACTTTATAACTCTTCAGCTCAAATACAGAACAGCTGCTTCACTGATCATATGCTATGCGTATGGGGGCCCACTAGGGATAAAGACAACTCTTCATCAAATAACATTTAACGCCCTCGCATTTCTATCAAAAACCATAAACTCTGCTAGATGGCAAACCTCCATATTTCCCAGGTGGGGGAACACCTGCCTGATACAAAATAAAGTATACAGCATCTGGTTGCTGGGGGGAGGCAAATCTCATTTCATCTGGCCCGCAGAACAAATTATGGTTGCTAGTGAAAGGAGAAAGGGCAAAAAGTCAAATGCTTTTTATAGTTAGGCAAAAACAGATGTTAAATGGAGCTGTTTATCTTGTATATATTTTATGTATATGTTAAAAAAGACAGGCCCCTTTTAATAAAATATGAGTTTGAACTGCCCACAGTTCAGAATGGTATTCTGAGTATTGCTTAAGTAATATTTTGGGTAATGTATTTCCACCCACCATCACTCTTGTCCCAATCACTGCTAGTGGGCGCAAGCTGAACAGGATGCACTAGGACTTTTCCCAGCTGGCACCCTCCAGAGGAGTTGGACCCTCATCGCTCAAAATTTCCACCCAGTAATACTGAGAATGCTGGGAAGTACAATCCCAACACATGTAAAAAGCACCTGAATGGGGGAAAGTGGCCTAGATTGTATACTGATAGATCTTCTATTTAGCATATTGAAATACAACAAAAAACAGCCTGTCCTGCAAACTTTGAAAGAACATGCCTTCAAGAAGCCTTCTGGGTACAGGCTCTGAACACCCTGGTCCAGCAGTTCTAGAAGCTTGAAAAGTCTCATCTAAGCCTATTTGCTACTCTTGTGACCCGGCAGCACCATCCCTGGTGCCTTCTATAGCAAAACAGTAGAGCACATGGTCACCAACTCCACTTGGTGAAAGATGGAGGTTTGATATAATAGTTGCATGCTTCATACATCCAGGGCCTTGCTTACCAAATTTATCAAAACTTATCAGATTTGCTTACCAAATACCAGCATTTCTCTGAGAGAAAATTTCATTTTTAATTTCCTTCTGGAGGACAACTGGCAGGTAATTCAAATTTTCAATGGCAGTGGCATACCTAGCATATTTGACACCTGAAGCAGATCAGAGGCTAAGCAGCAGCTACAGGAACAGGATCCAGGCGGGTCCAACTACAGTGGGGCAAAAAAGTATTTAGTCAGCCACCAATTGTGCAAGTTCTCCCACTTAAAAAGATGAG